GAGCGCGTCGGTTCCCGCGGACGCCGTAGCATGGGTCGTAAAATCGTAAGCTCGAACCTTACCTATACATATAATATGAGACAGACAGCGAGAAAAACAACCCTTGGCAAGCAGGAACAAGTACCGCACCACTCTGATGGTGGATAATGATGTTTCCGAAACGTCAGCTCCAATACACAGTGGTCATGAAAGCGCCTTCTTTATCTCCTCTTCTTTGGGGGAGGGGGGGTGATGAACGGAATAATATACCTGGACCTTGTCTCTTCACCCGTATTAAGTAATGCTATGGGCACTCAGCGCGCAGATAGAAGACTTTTGCCAGACGAGTCATTCACCTATGCTCACCTGGGATACATGTATCGTCGCCTTGATGACAACGTCGAAATGCCTCCGCTATAGCACACCAGTGAAAACCGACCTCTGCTCACGGACAATGGATGAATTTAAAAAGAGAAAATTATTTTGGGAATTACTAAGTACGTTACTTGGAAGTGGGTGACCGGAACATGACTTGTTTGGGGCCATACCAGAAGTTTCGGCAGGAGTTTTCTTGGTAGTGGCGGAAAAAAAACTCCACATTTCCAGGTTTTTCGACAGCGATTCGAGCACGATTAGGGCTAGGGTAAGGGTTATGGTTAGGGTAAGGTTTAGGGTTAGGTTAAGGGCAAGGGTGAGTGTTAGGGTTAGGTTTAATATTAGGATAAGTTTTGGGGTTAAGGCAAGGGTTAGTGTTAGGTTCAGTGAGGGATAATGATATCTTATGTAAAAAGCCCGAAGTTTCTGCTTAGTATTACAAAAAGTCTTCGTATGTAAAAAGCCCGAAGTTTCTGCTTGATATTACAAAAAGTCTTCACAAAAATCCATTATTACTGGGTTTTGGGCAAAGGAAAGTTTTCGGAATAAAACTCCACATTTCCAAGTTTGTCGACAGCGATGCGTGCTCGATTCGCGCTCAATTCGAGCTCGATTTGTTTTTTGCGCCTTTTTTAGATCTACGCGCCCAATGCCGTCGGCCCATAGCCGTTAAATTATTTCAACAAAATTTTATGACTTTTTTTTCTTATTTTCACAAAATCCTTTTTTGT